AATTGGATCGTGATTACGATTCCAATATAATAAATTATAACTATGGAATATTAGTGTTTGAATTTATATATATATATATATATATATATATATATATATATATAAAAGTGAACATAGAAGTCAACACTTAGAGGCGACAGTCTGTTTCATGCTATATGCAATCGTCAGGCCACGAGTGCTTTTTCTCGGCTATTTATATATATACGGGTCAGTGGTGCATTGTGGGTAGTCTCTTATAGCGGTTATTTTACCGGAAGTCGTTTATTTATTAATTTGGGTTAAATTATTTTGCTTGTTTTTATTTATTTTTATTTTTTGTTTCTTAACTTATTTATTTATTTTTTTAAATCGGTGTTTTTATTAACGTAGTAAAAATTGTTTATATCACTTATTTAATAGTTTTGTTTTGGTTTGAGAATTTAATTAAAGCTATTTGTTCCGTTTTGGTGTTGATTGTTGTAGTTTATCCTAACTATTATTTTGGCGGGAACACTTTTTAATTTGTATTTATTTGGATTGATTATCTTTATTTGTTTTCTCTAACGGTTTTTTTACTACGTTACTTAAAAATCGAAAACCGAAATAAGAAAATATACAAATAAATAATAACAAGTAAAATAAATTGACCTAAATTCATCCAAATAAATAAATAAACAAACCAATCCCGATAAAGTTACCGTTAGAAAAAAAAATAAAGATAATATATATATAAATAGCCGAGAAAAATAACAGCACTGGTGGCCTGACGATTGCATCTAGCATGAAACAGCCTGTCGCCTCTAAGTGTTGACTTCTATGTCCCCTTTTATATTTGCACACGCTCTATCTCTGATATTGAGCACTTTATCCCATAAATATAGCCCACCTTAAGACTATATTTCTTCACACACACACACACACACACACACACACACACACACACACACACACACACACACACACACACACACACACACACACATATATATATATATATATATATATATAGTTATAGGGATGGATCAATCAAACAATCTGATATAAGCAAGCATATACGCGTACTGGTGTGTACGCACGGGCAAGCAGATAAATAATAATCAAATTTATACATTATATATATATATATATATATATATATATATATATATATATATATATATATATATTTCATTAGATTTCATATATATATATATATATATATATATATATATATATGAAAACCAATGAAACTTATTAAGGTTTTTTAAGTTGGTTATTTTACCGTTCGAAAAGACTTTTTGGTTCCCGGTGAGAATTTTTACATAAATTGTCCAGTGACTTTCAGCATTTTTTTTTTTCTTTCAACCCATTATCAGTTTTAATATTTCTGTTAATTTGGTCTCTGTTTACACGTTCTTTGCCAGTTTTCAAGGGTCAACTCATCACGCCCCAATGTGTGGCATGTCAGTTTTTTTTAAGTATAACGTTATCAAGCATCTATTCGTATTCTCTCATTTTTTTATTTAAACCTGTTTTTGTTTGGTTCGTTGGTCTTCAATCAAACCTGCATAAATGAATAACTTTTGCCTAAACACCAAATTCACAATACATACATACATACATACATACATATATATATATATATATATATATATATATATATATATATATATATATATATATATATGTTAAGTTTACGTATATGCCCTTGTGATTCTGTGAGTCCATCTACTGTTACTTTCCCAGCATTTTCTTTCAGTTTACTCCCACCTTTCTTCTTTTTTTCCCTTTATCGTCTTCTTTTCTCTTTCTTCTCTTTTTCTTCTCTCTCTCTCTCTTTCTTTTCCTCGTTTCCCTTTCTCTTTCTCTCGTATTTTCTCCGTTCACATGTCTTTATCAAGCACTTGTAAACCTCCCAACTTAATATTCTCATTGGCCCTACCTAAAAGCCCAAAGTGATTATAGTTCCGTCTTCAAAAGGTCACATGTTTCCACGCATATAAGGAAGATATTTAGTATCACCAGTATCATTATCATTTTTACTACTACTAATAATAATTCTACTACTACTACTACTCCGACATCAATGGAATTCCAAAGAAAATGTGGGTCACCAAAACGCTTTCACTGGATACTGTTATTTACTGTACTTTATAATTCTTGTAAAATCTGTAATAACAAGTCTAAAACTCAAACACCAATTTTCGATGTTTGGACTTCTCCATATTTACTTTTAGTAGAAGTCTATTAAAAATGTTTTTGTTTCCTCTTCTTTGTGTCCCATCAGGACGTAGGCGATCATGGCTCTCCACAATTTCCTGTCCTTTGTAGTTCTTAATAAATTTTGTCTTTTAATTTTTTTTTCTAAACCCTGTTCCACCATCCATTTACTCAAACTCACTAAGTATGTTATACGTTGTTTTTCTCTGGCCCTCTTGCCTTCAATCTCTCCTGTGAGTATCAGACTTTCCAATCCCCCTTCCTCATTATATGTCCTTGAAATTTTAATTGTCTCATCATGATGATAATTATAATTGTTTTTATTTTGTTGCCATTGTCTGTAGAACTTTGTCGCTGCTCATATGTTCGGTCCATGGTATCCCCATCATCTTTCTGTAGAACCATATTTCTGTCGCTTCAAGTCTCTTTTTTTATCATTGAGGAGATTGTTCAGCATTCACTGCCATATAGGAGGACTGATTTTTATTTCAAAGTTTATTTCACATACGCATAAAGCCTATGATCCCACTATATTCTTCTTCATCTTTCTCTTCTTCTTCTTCTTCTTCTTCTTCTTATTATTATTATTATTATTATTATCGGACTGGTCTGCTGCGTTCATTTTTTCACATGTCTTTGGGAAAAATATGAGTCCGTCTTTCTCCCCGAAGCTATGGGTTAAATAGTAGAGTAAACTGGACTCTTCAAAACTGAAAAGCACTTCATTAGCTTTCCTATGAAGTCGAGGCAATTCACAGATAACTGAACAAGGAATATGCGGAGGGCCATGATCGCCTATGGAGGGACATGGAAATAAAGTAATTTCGTTAGGAACATGGAAAATGTTTTGTATTATCAATACTTCTCTACAGAAATGAATAATAGATGATAAGATAAATTGAAACAACAGAGGAGTGGTTCTACAAAAGGCGGATGAGAATACCATGGATGGAGCATGTAAACAATGAGGAAGTCTTAGGGAAAATGTGAACAAAAAAGGATCATAATCAGAAAGAGACAGTTGAAATTTCTTCGATACGTAATGAGGAACGCAAGCTAGGAGAATTTAACACTCACAAGGACATATCGAAGGTAAGAGGGACAGGGAAAGAAGTACGTCACCTCCGAGATTAGCTTGTGTGAATGGATCACTTAAAGTTCAAAAAGACAAACCTTACTAAGAGCTACAAATGATCGGAAGTTGTGGAGAGTCATGATCACACATTTCGTGAAGAGGCACAGCACATAGCATAAGATTCTGCTGCAACTTTCAGATTTTATAAAAACAGTCTTTCTAAACCCTGTTTTTTATTGTCTTTTTTTGTCTCATTAAGGTTTTCTCATTTTCTTTCAATCTCAGCAACCCGTTGTATCTTAGTGGATTTATCGCCTTGCCTGGAGTGAAATTATTTAAAAAAAATACATGCGGAGATTCAGTACGTATAGAATCATTATTTTGGATGAGAAGAAAAATACTGAAGTATCAGATCTTGCTGACCAAAATTAATTTCACTCTTTTAAGGGTGGTGAATTGTCTCTTGAAATAAAGTCTTGAAGTAAATGACCATCCATTCTTCTTCTGCTATGTGCCGTGTCCCTTTAGGACGTGGGAAATTATGCTTCCTTACAATCTTCTCCCCATTATGGGACTTCGCAGCGTTCTCGCTTTGCTAAGTCTCCCGCTCCCGTTCCACCGTTCATTCACAAAAGCTCGTCAAAGAGATAATTCGCTGCCCCACCAAACTCTGTTGCCCTTGATATGCCCTGTGAGCGTTATGTTTTCCAAGCCCGCCTTCCACAATATGTGTTCAAGAAATTTCAGCTTGTTTTTCCTGATTCTGAGTATAAGTGTTTTTTTGTTGCCATTTCATTTAAGACTTCCTCCTTGCTTACTCCCCTCCCCGCCCATGGAATTCTCAGTATCCTTCTGTAGAACCACATTTCTGTTGCCTCCAGTTTCCTCTTCATCTGTGGTGAGATTGGCCAGCATTTACTGCCATGCAAGCGGATTGATATCAAATAGCAATTCAGCACTATTTTCTTTATTTCCTATTTCTTAGTACTTTGCAAGCAAGGCGATAATGCCCCTAAGACGTAAGGGGGCTAATGGAAATGAAAAGAGTTTAGGAGAGGAAACTGTAACCTCATTCCTAAGCAAGAAACAAGCGATAATTCTCTACTCATATTCAAAAGACAAGGAAGGAGTGTGAACAGGATGATAGGCGAACCTATCTACTCCTATTTAAGTTGTCTGTAATCACTTTTTTTGCTTCGGTCTTTGATTAACCCACCAAAAAAAACAAAAAAAAACATAACATATCTTCTACTTTTGGGTAAAGAAAATACGGCATGTTAGACGCATGATTTTGATAGGAAAAACCAGTGTAGAACAACTTTGGATTTAAAATGATTCTGAAGAGAGATTTACTATAGAAACCATGCTCAGGAGACTGTGGACTTGTATTCTACAGAAAAGTTTAATGGCGGAAAAAGAAGAGGAAGTGGGATCGGCTTCGTCATGCTGTTTGGCTTTAGATGAACCCAATGTTACTCAGTTGCAATACAAATGCCTGCATCAAGGACTAGCCGAATGGATTATGTGATGCATACATGCATGTAAATTGAATCGTTAAAGTTCAACGTTATTCAGCTGACGGGTAAATTTGAAAGAGGACATCAACAAGTTGCTTGTTTAGACGGAGTGATTGGTTAAAAGTGTAAATATTTTGCTCCCAATGTGTATTCGTTCCGTGTCCAATGTAAAGTCGGGTAACAAACGATAATTCAATGAACTGAATCTAAACACGCACTTGATAATGAATATGTGCAAACTCGGACTGAAAATATCTCAACCCAACCAACAAGGCCTTTTTTTAAAAAAAAATATCTATCTATCTATCTATCTCTGTCTGCCTATCTCTTTATATATATATATATATATATATATATATATATATATATATATATATATATATCAGTCTGTTCATATCTATCTATCTATCTATCTATCTATCTATCTATCTATCTATCTCCCTGTCCCCGTCCCTGTCTGTCTGTCTGTCTGTCCGTCTGTCCGTCTGTCTCTGTCTCTATCTCTGTCTCTCTCTCTCTCTCTATATATATGTATCAGTCCGTTGAGATCTATCTATCTATCTATCTATCTATCTATCTATCTATCTATCTATCTATCTATCTATCTCTGTCTGTCTGTCTCTTCATATATATATATATACAGACTGATATATATATATATATATATATATATATATATATATATATCAGTCTGTTCATTTATATCTATCTATCTATCTATCTATCTATCTATCTATCTATCTATCTATCTATATCTATCTATGCGCATGTGTGTGTGTGTTCGTTCGTGCGCGATAGAAATCGGGTCTTAAGGTATACTACAATAAGTGGTAAAAGCTGCTCAATATTTGGGCTAGAACCTGTGTGTGTGTGTACATGAGTGAGCACTGAATTCATCACTGAAGGGTGGTGAGAGTCAGTTTTATGCTTGAACGCAATCTTTAGGTCATGTGTGTCGCGTAGTAACTTGACTATTTATATATGTTGGTCAATGGGGCATTAGAGGTAGCAAGGTCATATATTTCCTCTTTGTTGCATTATCCTAACGATTGTTTGCAAAAGTGGGAGCGGTTATATTTACATTATTCTAAAAGCAATTGATTAGAAAAAATTGTAGGCCAGAATCCCGTTTATTTTATAGCTATTGGAAAGAGTTTTTTTTGTTATTTTTTAACTTATTATGAATTATTGATTGCTTAAGGTATTTTGTATTTATGCCTTATTTACTGTTAATTATTGTTCTTATATTTACTTGTGATTATTTTTGTATTTCTTACAGTTTGTTAACTTTTTTATTATTTAATTTGTTTATTTATTTATTATTATCATTATTATTATTTGCTTTTGGGGTTCGTTATCTTATTGTTGATTAGTTTAACGTAATCACTTTGGCTAAAATTGTGTTTCTCAGCCGAGGCCCGTATGGTCCATGTAACATTACTGGGGGTTCATATGAAAAATAGGCAAATTGAGATCCACGGTAATATTTTAGTTTTCCATAGAGCAATTTCACTTCGGAGCGATTGTTACAAGTGAGCATTTCTACAGTAATTTACACCATGTTAAAATAGAGAAAAAAACACCTCTAAAACTAGCAGAAAAAGAGATCAAACGATGTAAATTAGCGTCCCTTTTACTCTACTGGATGTTCTGATTGTAAAATGTTGAAAAAAAAAAGATCTTAGAAGGATATCTAAAGGAAGGATTATATATATAAATTAATTATATATATCTATAATAAACAATAATATTAATTTTATTAATGAAATAAAATATTAATATATTAATATAAATTAATTAATATAAAATATTTAAAAAATAAATTATAAAAAATAGAATATTAATAATAAACTTATTTTAATATATAAAGTATATAAGGATTACATATAAAGGAAGTATTAACAGTATTAACCACATCAGCAGCGTCAATGACAGGGATCTCATTGAATAAATTTATTAATTACTCACATATCTTAAAATCGTTCATTATGAGTTATTTTACTCATGGACATAAATGTTCCAGAGAATTTAGTTTTTAAATACAAATTTATTTTTAATAAATTAGCTTTACTTCAAAATAAAACATATACATTTACTATAATAAAATTCTTAAACTTATCTATTGGTAAAAAATAAAATAAGTTTTTTTTTCATCGAATGGTTATGGGGTCCGCCAAACAAAAATAAACGTCAATATTGTCCATGGGTGAAAAAAAAAAAAAAAAAAAAAAAAAAAACGATGAGAATCACTAGTCAGAAGTATTTTACATTATTTTACATTATTATTATGCCGCTTGCAATCTAACGATCTACCTCGAGTGGCTCTCAGGCCTAGTACGGGGTGAAAATCATTGTAAAATAAAAAAATAAAAATACCTCAACAATAATAATTATATATTATTCAGACATTTCGTAAGTAATGTTTGAAAATCTGATAAATCTAATTTGAATGTGATTTCTTTGCTAGTCTAAAATATCTATAAAACTCTATCAAATACATCATACTTATTATAAAACCCAGGTTGTGTGTGTGTGTGTTCGTTTATATATTGGATCGGATTTCCTACATTTTTCAACCGATTTCAACAAAACTTCACTTTTTTTGGCAGGTAGTGTTTCTTATTGTCTTGCACACTTTTTTCTTTATTTTTACATTCAGAATGCTTAAAAAATTCCATTTACAAGACAATTTTTTATAATAAAATCTATTCAATCGGTAGACTCATAACGATTGAAAACAATGTTTTTGTTTGAGTTTGGGTTTGACCAATTCGTAAAAAAATCCTCCAAAAAACAAACTAATTAAGACATACGTGTCCCGTCAACCTTAAACAATAATCTTTGTCAATTTTATTTTTCAGTCTTCATGATGGTCGATACTTGATCTATCTCTTACTGTTACATCCCCGGGCAACGCCGGGATCTACTGCTAGTTTTCCTATAAAAGTTATTTTTAGTGGGTACAGGTGTTTGGGTTGATGTTTATGTATTTTTTAATTTTGTTTTTATTGGCGGCAACGTCACAACAATTCATAGTTGAATTGAGTTATATTTGACTGTAAGTTCTATGCTAACAGTTTCTTTTCTCCTACTTGAATATGGAACTATCTTCCAGTTCCATGATTTCCAGCCAATTTTGATCATCTAAATTTCAAATGCATTGCCCTCTTGATTACACTTCTGTTGATCTCGCTTCTTAAAAAATATTTCTTTTTTTTCTTATTCTTTCACACACAGTAACACCATGTGTATTAGTGGTTTTACTGCCTTGAATAGAATGATATTATTAAAAAAAACATCTAGGTCGGTTGGTATTAATTTTACTATTGAAATAAAAGAAAAATGTTATGTCAACGCATATTCGTGTAGACACTAAAATAAGGTTAATAGAAATGAGGATTTATTTCCTTAGTTATGCAACCATATAACATAGATTAAGTCAACGAATAATTGTATCAAGCAGGATTAAGGTTTAAGATAGAGAGATATTCCAAATTTTATAAATTCCGTTGATTTCGCCATAGTTTATTAATCCGTAGGTAAATTGTTTATTTTAATTGCGTTTCGATTGCAAATAGTAAATATAATAGAAAGGACATTATATATACTAACATCTGTTACCATCTAACAATTTGTTTATAATATCTATTCTCTTTCATTCTCTCTTTCTTAAAGGATAGAGACGGGATTTTTTCCTGGTTTTTGTTATCAAGCGATTAAGAGCTGACTGAACGATTTCCTTTATGTGTGGGATTGTTTGTCAAAGCGAATTCTTTCGATATCTTTGCCCAATATTATTTGTATAGATAAGAAATATGGATAATCGGTTGCTTTCGGATTACATTTCAAAATGGAACAAGTCGGATTTTTACGACAGCAGCAACACAACCAATCAGATTAAAATATTTGCATCCGGTTCAAAAAAGTAAACAATAACACACACTCATACACAAACATACATACACACGCGCGCACATACACACGCGCGCACATACACACGCGCGCACACACACACACACACACACACACACACACACATATATATATATATATATGTAAATTATTTTCAGATAGAGTATAAAGGAACTAAATTAATGAAAAGACAAGACAAAATATTATTTCTAGCCGTCACCTAACCCCGCCATTTCGAGAGAACCAAACGTGTCAACCAAAAATAGTTTTAATTCTTTTATTCATATATATATATATATATATATAAGTATATATGAATACCCTTTATATATACATATATATATATATATATATATATATATATATATATATCGTGTGTAACAGCAAAATTGTCCAAATCGTGTAACTACATGGTGTAATTTTCCATCCCACACAATGTTTAATATCCAAAAACACTAAACAAACTGAGTTTCTTTTCTCCGGGTTTTCAGATAAGAGTTTTAACCATCTTGACACCATTTGTAGTAAGAATTACTGAAAAACCCTTTGAGGTATTCAGCTAGAAAGGGAACAGTTTCAAATCATTTTGTATCAGCCGGACTGTCTTCCGAAATGAACAATGGTGAGAGGCAAAAGATCATTGAGAGCTACAATAATGGACTTCAAAGTCCATTCAAGAACTAGGAACAGAACGGTAAATAAGTGGAAAACGAGTGAACAGTAGAAAGAAAAACTGGATCAGGAAGTCACAACAGGAATAGGGATCATCATTTCAATTTAGAGCTAAAGAGGTCAATTAGAAAAGATCCAACTCAACCCATAAGACGTGAGAAAGGTGTTTCAGCTATGATAGTCCAATGAATAGTGAAAAAAGACTTGAAAATGAAATCGTACGTGAAACGTGTGAGGCAACTTGTTATTCCAGGACTGAAACTTAGACGGTTAGAGTGGGCAAAGATCATCTTGAATAAGTTGGAAAATGATCCTGGAATAATATATATATATATATATATATATATATATATATATATGAACTTTATTTCAATCCTTTTATAAGTTTCCGATCCTTAACCATGATTAATTAATGATAAACATGTTATATCCGTTTATGTTGGCTCAGTTACCAAGACAAGTTGAAGATCAACCTTTAAGCTGTTAGAGTACCACATAAAACCTTTGAGGAAATGGCCCTGAACTGAAATGGCAAGAGTAAATATAAAACAATCTGCATTAAGATGAGCAGCATTGTTTCATAACTGACAATCTCTTGCCAAATGTGGTCTTCTCTGTAAGATTCTTGCAGGACTGATGTGTCATA